ACTGAGCTCTGTTTTCATTCTCTAAACTAGCAGCTATTTAAACTTCAGCTATTTGCACAAGATTGAAAATAAAATTAACAGGAGTCCTATATTTTTTTCAGTTTTCAGGTAAAAATAGCAGATCCTTGGTACTTGTATGACTACAGTGTGCAAAACCCATGTTTAAATCTGAGGAACTGTAGTACTTTACACCAGTTAGTGAAATTTATTTAGGAAGTCTGGGGAAACTTGACAGTGTTGATTTTTATTTTAACTTATTATAAGGATTAGAAGCAGATAAGAAAATGTTTATTTTGGAGGAATGCATGGAATCTACTTAAACTTTATCCTTTAAATTTTATTATAAGCTATGTGACGGTAATGGCTTTATTTTATTTGTAAAAACCTTCTTCAGACTTAATTTCTTTATGTAATCCCTAGTTTAACATATTACTATAGAGATTCCTTGTGTCTCTTCCAGTTAGAAAAATAAATAGTCAACCAATGTATTTTGCATTTTGCTATTGCAAGTACAATATTTGAACGTTTTGAGTACTGAAGGCAAAATACAAAAGCATGAAGATCTGGATCTAAAAATGGATGGTCAAAGATTTTGAAAGCAGAGGAATTGTTTTGCCAAATAAGGAGACTTGGAACATTCTGCTTTGTATTTTAAGATAGCACAAGTGTAGTACTACTTTATTGGCAATACTTTGGCAGCATGCCTTACCAAAACAAGTACTGAAAACTGCTTTGGCTATTTTACAGAATCATAAATGAGGTCAGGGGAATGAATAATTTAGTTGCTTCCTTTAATAAATTGTGATGAGATTGCTAAAAGTAAGCCAAATAATTGCATATTTAAAAAGCTCTAGATATATGTGCAATGTGGCAGATCAGTACTCTGTTTTATAAATCCACAAACCTAGCATAGGTATTTTGGAATGGAGACAAATTCAGGTTGTATTAACTATCTTACTTTGTTGTGTCTCTCATTTATAAAACTTTTGATGGCAACTCATTTTACCTTTATGAGAAGTAATTGAGAAGAGTAGGTAGTGCTTACCAAGGCACTATAAAGCAGCAAGTTCTGCTTCACTAGTTTACTTGCTGTCATGACATACAAGCCCTTTAAAGAGTTGGAGTGAACTGGCTGGATTCTCTCAGATTCCAAAATGCAACACAGCACAACCTGAGGTAGGAATAATTAATTTATTCTATTTCCCCCCTCACTCCATGCTGTGGGAATCCCTTCTCATCGCAGGCTGGGCCCCAGGAAGCATGTCTCTTTGCAGGTGCTAGTAAGGTCATGTGACAAGAGTCAAGGCCAAAAAAGCTGATGGCAGGTGCCTCTCGTCTCCTATGGTTTCCACAATATCCATGTTTGAAGAAAGGCTGGAGAGATCAAACACCCTTCTTGCCTCCTTCCCAATAAAGGAATTAGGATGAAATTCTGCTTCATCTTCCCTATGCTGATTACTTACACTGATGAGTGAATGGGGCCCATAGTTAAATATGGACAGTAACAGCTAGTTGGCAGATGTTAATAAAAGTTCAGCATGTTCAAAGCCATATTGAATCTTAATATGGTCTGCTGAACAGCTTGGATACACAGTAATATACAGTAATAGATTCCTGGTCAGGGAATCAAAATAGAAATCTAACATACAATAAAATGGGTTTTTTAAACCTTTTCTCTTTGGTGTTAAGGTCAATAATTTCTAAGATCCTTACAACAGTAATATATTATAAAGAGAAAAGGAACACAAAAGGAGATTACTTTGTTTCCTGGTTGCATGACTTCCAACTCACCTTAACTGTTAGAAATCAAAACTGGAATTCAAGAAAGGAAACTTTGTTTTTACTAGGTGATTGGTGACTTTAAAATACTTGAGACAAATCAAGACTTCATATGCTTGTCATTCAGTTTTACTGAGCTGCTCCGTCTTCATTTAATAGACAACAAAGCCCGTCAACATTGCCTACCCCACTGCTATAGCACAGTAACAGCAGTTAGAATTTCTGTATTGTGTTTCTGAAAAAATGACAGGGCTATGGGATGTATGAATTCAAGAAACTGTTTCCCTTCTTTCAGAGAGAGCTACCATGGAAAACTATTTCAGTGGAAGAATACTTTTACTAGAAAGATTTAAGATCTAAAAATGCATTGCTCAAGACTGGAGGAATGGTGTGTTTTGGAGGCCAAAACTATAAAAATTCAGCCTCAGGCCTCATGAAACATAGGAATTTTCTTTTGACCCACTGTGTAAGAGTAGATATGCCACACAATTGTAAAATATCTCTTCAAACATGATGACAGTTTAATTAATAACTGTATGTATAATCATCTCATAAGTAGTGACTCCAAACAGTTTAATTCCTTTGTTCTGAGGGAGAAATATTTCTAATTGAGGATTAACTATCTTGTATCCATAGATATGAAGTAACATTCAAAAAAGTTATTTTTTAATCAAGAAGAGGATGTGTTTATGCATGACAGTGCTATTAATTTCAGTTACCTGTATTCATGGTTACCTGCATAAATCTTCATTGTGTTCTTTGGAAGATAGATTTTGAAGAATGTGGTGTGAACCAGTGAATCATCCTTAAAATATGTTAATGGTATGTTATGCCAGTGACTTAGATTTGTCAAAACTTGTAGATAAACTTCGTATTGGAAAGGAGGGGATAAATATAATTTCCATCACTTTTCATGGACTGGCGGATGTATTGTGATTCACTGAAATTTAGGATTTGGCGTGTGAACAAAGACAAAAAAAACAGCACTAGTGTATCAAAAGATGCTTGATATTAATAAAACTGAATTATACTTTCTAGCATACTCTAGCGTACTGGCAAGTGGTGAGTGGCATATTTCCAATCAAATCTTACTTGGATGATCTTGTTTCTGCACTAGTAAATCTTTGTAAATTCAAGTGAGCCACTTATTTTGAAAATATGGATTATTAGATCTGCAGGTTCTAGATTAATTTAAAATAGTTAAGTCATCTTATTACAACTACTGAATAAAATTGTAAATACAATACAAGAAATAAGTGATGTATTCTCTGAGCAGCTTTTTCCTTTTCCTCTAGTTTTTTGTTTCTTCTGGTATCTCCATTTTAATAATGTTATCAGTTCTTCGCAATTCTGTCCGATTTGGAGTCCAGTCTTCTAAGTGGAATAAGAGAAGTAACTTTACTCCTGTGAATAATTCCAATGCTTCCTGGAGCCCTGGAGATTTTTTTCGCAAACAAAATTAAATAGATGGAGAAAGGCAGTAGATTGTAAGATGCTTATAGTAGAAAGCTTCCTGCACACTTGTACTGCTTAGAGAAGCAGCAAAACCTATTTGTATGAACAATAGATGTGGCCAAAGAGGACACAGGTTAGGGGAATAGGCCTTAATATGTATGAGAAAAATAAAACTTACCCCAAGTCAGAAAAGTATATTTTTGGCATTGAAGAATTGTTGAAAAAAGGAACCCATTAACTCACAGATAGGCTAAATATAGGATAAATACAGTTTTTCTCTCTTGGGCTGTTTCAGATTTGCCTTCTGAAAAAACAATTCAGGAGAGGTTTATATTATAAGTTGCATTGTGGTCTAGTCGGCCAGTATCTTTAACCTCTTGGGTTTTGTTAGTAGATAATAAAGATTTTTAAAAGTAACCAAGCAAAGTGAGAAAAGGCAGCTTGCTGTTTCTAGGCAATAATTAGAAAGCCATTATTGCTTCACATCTCACCATCTTCAATAACCAAATAGTGATTGAAATTTAATCTAAAATTCATAGCAGATTTCACGTAGTTTCATTGCAGAGTTGGGGACAAAAGCCCCTCTTACTTATTTACAGTAAACCCTGGAGCCCTGGTGAAGGTTCGAGGCATCTTTTTGTTAGGTACTGCACAGACATCAAACAAGGATCGTCTTTGACCCTGCACTCTAAACAATACAGTGCTTGGGATACTAAACTGATAGCATTGTAGAAAACCCAAGGATTTATCTAAACCAGGCATGGCCAACCTTCAGCTCACGTGCCACAAGTGGCATGGGCAGCTTCTGTGTGTGGCACACTGAAGTTTGGGGAGGAAGCAGGGAGCACAGCAGCAGATCCACCAGGAAGCAGAATATAGAGTAGAAGCTTGGGCTGGGAACACAGGCCGGGGAGCAGAAAGCATAGCAGCAGGGCTAGGGGATCAGAGTGGCACTTGGGAAGTGTGGGGGGTTTAATTTTTGGCACACCTGCCAAGAAGGCTGGTCCCCACTGGTTTAACCACAGAGTTGCATCATTTTAACTCAAGGAGTCATTTTAACTGACGCAAGGGCTCTAATTGCTTATATTTCAGTTTTAACTGGTTCTGTTTTGGCTTAGCTTGTTTTAGCTCTTTTTGGCTTAAAAAGTTTAAATTAAACCAAAGTAAGCTATAGCTGAAATACGGTTGCCTGTATAGTGCACTGCTTCAGCCAAACCAAGTTAATTATACTGGTACAAATTAGTATGTAAACAAGTCTGATTTCTAGCTTGGTAGAAAACTTACATGAACTGTAGGGATTTTCTCTGTTTTGTAACATAATTAAAAGCTTTTTAGTTCTCAATACTATTAAAAACCCCCTTAAAAATAATCCACGTATCTAATCAGCCTCAGTGAGTGTCCACTCACTTAGGTGATAACTTTTTTAAAATGTTGTTGCAGACACAGGATTTTTCACATTGTAATCCATGGGAAGGACATTCTGTTCCTCTGGCAACAGATATGGTCTGATCTTTTAAAACCGTAAAATCCATTCTTGGCAGCATGCACAGGATTTTGCATATTCTAACCAAGATAAATTATCCTACACTTACTCCTTGTTACAGCATGAAAGCAAAAGGGAATCATTTCTGAAAGAGACCAGCTTTTCTGGCCTGACTTTTTTCGCAAGTACTTCTATCTCTGAGCATAGGAAGGCTGTTTAGTCTGTAGATGTAAGCTGAACTTCTGCCAGAATATTCAGTTGCTTAGGTTATGTATATTTTGTGTGAAGTGATCACAACATGGAGAGATCACATGCTTCAGATTCCAGAACTCCTATGCAAGTTCATAGTTGAAAGCACATTTCCCATTTGTCAGAGTGCTTCATGTTAGGAGACCTGGTGATACACTTGCTTTTTGCAGAGCTACTTCACCATGTACAGGAAACACCAGTATAAATCTGAGGAGCATTTTTAGCTATTTCTCTCCATGCAACTGATTTTCAGTCTGCACCAAATATATGAATGCTTGAATAGGCTGCTGGAGTGTGAGTTTCTGGATTATTTTCCTTTGATCTGTTCAGTGGATTTGCTATAGAACTTTTATTCCAGTAGGTTCCTTCTTTGGAATAGTTAGGAATATGATTGTTCCATGGAACAGATGTATTAATTAGCTTTTCCTTACAGATTTTGTTGTGGAACATTTGTCATTATGAGATGTCGTCTACCAGTGCTTCATTTGTGCAAATTAAATTCGATGACTTGCAGTTCTTTGAAAACTGCGGTGGAGGGAGTTTTGGGAGTGTTTATCGAGCCCGATGGATATCACAGGAAAAAGAGGTGGCTGTGAAGAAGTTGCTGAAAATAGAGAAAGAGGTGAGGATTCATTTCTGTTTTATTAATATGAATAATGTATCATTTTCAGAGTAATATAAATTATATTTTAATGTCTTCCTCTGTTGCTAATCAAGGAAGACCTTGTTGGTTTTTTTGTTTGTTTTTAATTATGAAAACCAATAACTGGCTGTTGTTACAATTGAATCATGCTGAATTATAGGATTGTTTATAGGATTATTTCTTTCATGCTTTTACTGCCCTTCTCTCTGAGTGTCCACGGTGAGACTGAGGAGCAGGAGAATTTAAGTTTAACCCTGCTGACCTAGTCAGTTCACTGGATATCATTGTCCAAAGGGATTGCTATGTAGAAATGAAGCAAATGTACTTTCATTGTTCTCTTCCCTTGTGCCTTATTTACATCAGACTTCCGATTAATTCAGTGGTTCTTAACTTTTTCAGGCTCAAGACACCCCTCTGTAACTTTTTTGTATTTCATAACACTCCACTTGAGAACCACTGGCCTAAAATAGCACACATTTGACCAGAATACAGTGTGTCTGGGACTTTATCCTGCATCCAGTTTTTGTCACAGATGTAGGTATAATAAAAGGAGGGAGAAACTTAAAGCTACTGACAGGGCTGATACTACTTCAAAAGAAGTATCCCTATTACCAAACCAAGGAATAACCCAACATCCCAGAGGTGTTGCCAGTTATTTCTGTGCCATGGGCAGGAAAGGGAGAATGGATGGGTGGGAGGCGACATTGTGCTGAGTTTAGGAGAATGGGGCTAGGGGAATCTTACCTGCAGTGGCATGGGCCCACCCAGGAGCTGCAGGCTCTCCCTGGACTCATCCTCTACTGCATTAATGTGCTCCTAGCTGCCACTAATCTACATAGATCAGGGCTGTTAAAGCCTTAATTTGGCTGTGAAAGCATTAACAGAGGAGCTGCTTCTCATGGGGCGCAAGTTGGGGAGAGGCTGCTAGGGGAATCCTGCCTCGGGTTTGCAGTCAAAAGACTGCAGCTGTTGACTGAAGCATGTGCTTTTGCAATGGCCTTTCCTGATCTGACCCTATGTGCTCCTCCTGGAAACTGAGGGGTGCAGGATAGTCGTCGTCCCCCCCACCCCCTGCCTGCTGCATTTCTGTTTTTTGGAGGAGTGTGTGAGGTTGGAGCGGGAAGTGCTGTGGCAAGAACATGTGCTTTGGCTGCAACTGTTTCCAATTTTCTACCCCAGGAGGTGTGCATGGCATTTAAATTTGGCTGCAATAACACTCATGTTGCAGCACCCTTGGAAAGGGCTCAGTGGGTGCTTCACTTCACTGCAGATTTAGCTTGGGCATTTATTTGGATGTCTCTTTCTCCCCTCTACAAACTCAAAGCCCTTATCTAAATAGTGCCTTCACCTCAGGCTAACTGACATCGCTTGGGGTTTGGTTTAGAGCCCAGGCTCACTGCAGTAAGGATACAGGCTAAAACACTCATCTACTGATAGAGAATCAAAAAAAATTAAGAACTAGAAGGATACATGGGTGGTTATCTGCTCCAGCTCCTTGTTCATGAGAGGTTATTTTCTGTCTAAACCATCCAAAACAAGTGAATGTCTAACCTGCATTAAGAACTCCCAGTGATGGAGATTCCACAACCTTTTCACAACACACACGGTCAATTTTTATTGTTCTCCTCTAGATACTTTCCAATTTGTCAAGATCTTTCTTGAAGCTTGGAGCTCAAACTGGACACAGTATTACATATGAGGCCTTACTGGTCCTGAGTCGATAAAAAGGAACACTTCTGATTTGTGTACAGCATTCCTGTTAATTCATCCCACATGCTATTAGGCTTGGAATTTCTTTTTCTTTGCAACTGGGTGACATAGTTGGCTCATGTGCCCATTCTGATAAAAAAAAATAGCACTACATAATATCAATAAGGAATAAGAACTGGCTAATGGACACATCTCAAAAAGTAATTGTCAGTAGGAAATCGTTGTTGCATTTCAGTCATTCCTAGCGTAGTTCAACAGGCACTGATACTAGTGTTGTTTCTTTTCAGCATTTTCATTGATGATTCAGAAGTAAATTTAAAATCACAGGAAGTAAATATAAATTGGTAAATGACAGATATTGGTGGATGGTGAATAACAAGGAGGATAGGCATTAGGGGTGTGTGAAGCTTCCGTCGCTGATTCAATTCGGCAGAGATTTGGCTCGATTTGTTGGCTGAATCTCTGAATCCAAATTGATTCAGAGAGGTTTGGAAAGATTCGATGATTCGGATGTAGACACAGCTTTAAATGTTTTTTCTGCATACCTCAAGGTACCAGGCAGCTTGTGAATGCTGAGATGTGTCACAACCCAAAAGGTGTGATTTTTGTTTGTGTGTGCTTCGGCACTGCTAAATTGTCCCCGCTAAATTGCAGCTTCCTTGCACGGTGGAGTTTTCTGCTGCAAAAGAGAACCCTGGTGCAAGGAACAAGTTTCCCGCCAATTTGAAGCTTTCTTTGCAGGGTGCATTTCTTTGTTGCAGCACAGAAATGCTCGTTGCAAAGAGTTCCCGCCATTTGTATGCTAATTTGAGTCCCATTATTGGCCAGTTCTAAATTATTCACACGTGGCGGCTAGTGATTGGCTTGGCCCCGGCGCATTTCAAGCAGGCAACAGAGGTCTGATCAACCTCTAGCCTCTCCCCGTCGCCGATAGATTCCCAGACGTATCCCTCCCGCGTGCTACGAACCGGACCCACGGAGCCTAGCAAACTTCGTGTAGCAGAAGGACCCACGGAGCCTAGCAAACTTCGTGTGAGTCCTTGCTGGACGACTCCAGAGCTCTTCTACCCGGGTTCGAGTCCTGCAGGTTTACTTTCCCGTCTCCGAAACCCTTTGCGACGTACCCTCGTATTTTCATCTTCCCGTCGCCGGAACCCTATGCGACGTACCCTCGTGCCCTGCAGGTTCGAGTTTTTGTTTTCTTTCTGTAACCGCAACTTAAGCAAGCTTTCCAGCCTGCACCACTGCCATCTCGGTGTAAGTAAACAATCTTTTAAAACTACCGATACGCGTCCGTGCCTAATTCCAGCTCGAAGGCCTTCCCTCTCCGCCCCGGCGTGCCCGGGCTGCTGGCCACAGCCCGCGTGCAGCGCGAAAAAGTGCTCGGGTCGCTCCCGGCCCGCACAAGATGGTGGGGCGGGTGGAGCCATCCCACAGGAGCATGGGTGGGTCCCCAGTGCACTCAGCAGCAGACCTGGAAGTGAACCAGAAGTGCTTCTGGAGTCGCTGGGGAGCGTGTAGGGGCCCCCCCCCCCGGCCCCTAGCTTGGCACCTGGTGTTTCCTGGGCCTGGGGGGGTACCTGGGGTCCCCTCGCAGCTGATCGCTGAGCTGGGGGGCGCGGGGGGCCTCCCCCACACACTCAGCGGCGGACCCAGAAGTGGGCTGGAAGTACTTCTGGTCCACTTCTGGGTTCACCGCTGAGCGGACGGGGGCCCCCACCCCGTGCTCCTGTGGGACTCTCCATCAACCCCTCCATCACAGTGTTCACAAGCTATGCCTGGTACCTCGAGGTACGTAGAAAAAAAACATTTATAGCTGTGTCTGTGGCTGAATTGCTGATTCCCCAAATCAGCATCAAATCTTCAGATTCGGATTCAGCCAAATCAGATTGGGATAGTGATCTTAATAAACAAATTGAATCACTGTCCCTGATTCGGGCTGAATCCGAATCGAATATGGCCCGTTTCACACACCCCTAATAGGCATATAGTACAGAGTAATCTGACCCACTCTGATAAAATGGGTGCATTCAAACAAAATATGTTGTAAAACAACCAAATGAAACAATAGATGTCTTGGAACAAGAAATTCAGGCCCAATCTATAAGATCAGAGACAGTGTCTTGGATAGCAGTTACTGAAAAGTATAGAGCAGGTGGTAGGACTCTGGTCTAATTGGTCCCTTCCAACCCTAGAAATCTATGAAATCTATGAATAGATGGATAGTAGATACAAGTCTTAACCTGAGTTCCCAATTGTGGTGTTTTTGCAAAAAAAGTCTAAGGTTCTTGAATATACAAAAAAGAGAGTAGTCTGTAGGAATAGAGAGGTGATTGTATTTGTATGTTGTATTCATGAGATTTAACATTGGACTATGAGGTACAGGTAAGGTGTTTAGATTTTAAAAGGAAATCTGAAAAATTAAAGGGTATAGGAAATTACTGCAGAAATGATTCCAGGTTAAAAGAGGACACCTTGTCCCTTAATGATGAAAAAATATGGGTTACTAAAGAGCTCATTAATTTACAGGAGGATGACATAGCAAGAACCAGTATGTGGAAGCCAGACATATTCAAATGGGAAATAAGGCACGATATTTTTAACAGTGAAGGTGATTAATCTTTGGAACCAGCTACCAAGGGAGATAATAGATTCTCCATTGTTTGATGCCTTCAAATCAAGGCTTTTCTGAAATACAGTAGTCTGGTGGTTCTCGATCAGTAGCCTGCTGTCCATCAGTGGTCTCTGGAGATACTGTGGGTGGGATGCCAGGACTATGGGGCTGTGCATGAGTTTGAGGGGGAGGTCAGTTATGGGGTGGAAAGTGGGGTTGGATGGAGATGGACCATTGGATCAAAAAGGTTGAGAACCACTGCTTTTGTCTAGCGCAGGATATAGTGTTAAATATTGGGATAATTGAGTGAAATTAAATGGGTCCTGTTATAGTAGGGGTCATAATAAGGTCCCTTTTTATCAAGCTTATCAAGAATTATGACTGAAAAGCATAATACATGGCTAAATGTGATCATCCTAGCAACTACCTTTCTGACTAGAACAGAACAGTAACTTGTTAGAGATGTATATAGTTTTGTTGTTTGGTAGATGTTTGGATAGTTAATATTTAAGCTGAGAAAGCAATTGCCCTTGCCACCTTAGAAAGTAAGCTTTCTTTTGGTAAATACCCATTCTTTTATACTCCCTGACTGATTATCTTTTGTTTCTATTAACTACTACCAGTGAGCCATAACAGTTGATTAAAGAGAAAACAA